CATAAAATATGTCTCAAACATGGATGTATGAATACCTGAATGGAGCGATAAGTGGTCTATGAGGCGAGGGTGGTGAAGCCTGAGCCGGCAGAAGGAAATCACGCAGCGGCATGTTGGTTGGCTAGAAAAATGGCGGTGCTAGTAACCTAATCTTGGCTTGGCGATCGCGTTCACATGGCTTGTAGAAAACCGAGCAATTTGAAGATTTGAACTTATTACCTCTGCTTTTATGTATTCATATATTATAAATTCCCCTCACGCTATCGCTCCGTCCATATATTCTTACGTCTCAAATTTTTAAATAATATTTGTGATATAAACAATAATGTAAAATCGTCGGAGTTATCTATCGCGTGATACTGGGATAATGCGATGTTGTGTCTCAGAACTGTTTCTCGGAATTGGCGTGAGATTCTGGAAGACCATCCGGTGCAACAAGGTTGAAGCACACGGTCGAAATCGCGTCGCATGATGCTAAACCAATCAATATATTCATGACGTGCACGACGATGGGACCGGATAGAGAGCGGCGAATCCTGCGGTCGCATGAGGAAGGAGGGGAATGTGTGACGTTGTTGTGTCGCACCCGGTATATATGCGGGCCGGTATCTCCCGCGCATGATAAATCTCCCGTCGCGGTTCGAGCCTCCATCGTATCGCCGCGGCTATTTTAATATTTTAAAGTTCCACCCTAAACGCGCAGTATATCAAAACTTGCGCCATAAATTACACGTTGCTACCCTCTCTCGCTTCCCCCGCTGACATTCTGCATCCCCCTCGCTGCAGAGATAGCATGATGCTCCGGACGACATGCGCGTTTTGCACTTGCCCTTTCATTCGCTGACGTCGGTTGGGCAAATTAACAATTGACTCCTGATCAGTGCCAAACTGCTTAGCGGCGAAATGTCGCGGTATATTTAAACTATCGAGCAAAATAATTAAATATTAATGATACTCTGAATATTATTCCAAAAATTGTAGCATAATACACGAAGAGCTGAGATAATAAACGTAAAGTGAAATATAATAAAAATTGTTCGTAACATTGCCGACAAAGTTAGTGATGTTTCTGAAAATATTAAGAAAATTAAAAATACATTATTTATGGAAAAAATAATTAAAGTGTATAAAAATTATTTGAAGAGGTTTTTTATTTCGAGTAATAGTGAGTGTATATACTTGCATTTATTTTGTGGAAAATATTTTCAACTTTTTATATATCTTTCTTATTAAATTTTCACGCTTTTTATAAAAGCTCTCTATTCCCGGGGCACTATTATTATTCAGTTATAAACAGATGATGTTCAATCTCGTTCGATTTTGCTTCACACAAATGTGTGCTGCAATGCGCGCGAAACCATTTGCGAGCTATCGCGAGCGCAGCAAAGTGCAGAGTTAATTTCAGTTTTATAACGCGAAACGAGTAGTAATAATGAACGAGCCGGGACGTGATGAATCCGGTTTTACAGCCGCTCTAATATTTAACCACCTGCTGAACTGATGCTGCTTAAAAGGCAGTAAAGCCAGATTGCCTTCTGCACCCAAATTTTGCTATCTTCCGGCACTCATCAGCGGAGTAGTTTCTAAGATAGTACTAGGATATAACGTTCGTAGCAGAAGATGGCTGGGTGTCTGCTCAGACATGCACTGCTCTCTTTCTTTCCTTCCATTATCGCGATTAGCCTCATCATCCATATCTGTGTGTTATTAGCGACCGTCGTTTCTTTTTTGCACTCGAGAAAAACTACGATTAACGTTTCAATACATTTTCATCTTTTTTCCTGTAGTGGCCCCAAGAGCCGAAATTATTTCGGACCGTTGTTATTTTAATTTAAAAGCATGGAACAAGACCTCGGAGAAAAAATAATTTTACGCGAATACAAAAATACTTGTAATATTTATTATAATTAAAAATTGTTTCCTTTTCGCAAACATCACACTTTATGAAAATAGATAAATTTATTTCAGATACTAAGTCCCATTCCTCTGTTTCTATATAATAATGAATTAAGTCGAAAGATGCAAAGAAGAAATTCAATGCTCCGAAGCATTTAGGAAATACTGTTCTAAGCTGAGCATCGAAGTAGTCAAGCAGGAATTTGCTTAAGAGGTCGGCGACTTGAGCCAGATGTGTTAATTAGCGACGCAGCCTTTAATTGCGATCGCAATGAGACATAATGAGACAAGCCAATGACAAATGAGTCCGATAGGAATACACCAATACTGTGCACTCGCGCGAAACTGAACTAGAGGTGGAGACTGTCATATTAATTGTCTCAATAACCCCGGCGGGGTTAACGAGCATGTAGCAAGAAGTGCATCTGCGAGCAGCACGGCGGTGTCTTTGCCAAGTTCCTCGAGACGAACGGATCTCCCACACTCGCTTCTTTTTCCCCTACTCGATATATCTTCCAGACGGCGTCGTGATGAGAATGTTCGAGTGGACAAAAAATAATATCGTCGTGAAATAGTACAAGAGAGGAAGCAAGATTGCTCTTAATTTTATTCCCTGGAAATATATATTCCATTACAGCACGCAATATAAAATTACGCAATAATCTCATGCAACAATATATACTATTTGTCAAAAAATATGTATAGCTTAGTTGAAGATTAATCGACAAGAAAAACCTTGAACAAATATCCTTCAAAAATTCTTTCTTACTCTGTATAAAAAAATATACGTAATATTATCGTTACGGTTATGCAAAATTATCTTTGCATTACTTTTATCAATAAAATTTGTCTGTTTTGCCAATAAACGATTAGTAAAAATTATCCAAGATGGAGGGACACGAGAGATAAAACTGAAATAGAGAAATACTGAAGTTTCGGTGGCCTGTCCATCATTTCCGCCAAAACTCCGGTGTAATTGGAGCTCCTCAGAGCCGCAGGATGCACACGGATCATTTTCCGCTTTTATCGGGAAATTTAATGCCGTGTCCCCCTTCCTCCCCCTTCCCCCCCCCCCCGGACGCGAATTTAGAATCGATCGATCGATGCGTCAGGTCACCCGGATAAGCAAACACTCGCAAGCAACTCGCCCGGCGTGATCCGTCGTGAGAAAGCGGGAGACACGGATAACGAAGTTCGGTCGTAATGAAGGTTTTACGAGGTACCCGATAAATCTCGTTGCGAGCCTCGGCGCGACCTTATAGATATTACTTCGCGAAGTTTGCGGAAATCACGACGATAAAGCGATCTTCGGTCTTCCATTACGGCCGCTACGAGGAGCGCGGAAGATTTTTCGCTTAATACACCACGAGAGCCAGAAGTCGTGGAGTTTTACGAATCAAGCGCGAGGGTTGATCCGCAGGTAATAAAAAGTTGCGCGATTATGAAGATCTGCATCGCTGCTGAGAGACGTCGAAGTTAACTTTTCCAGTCACGCTTTAGGTTTTTTTTTTTCCGCTGAAATATATGAACACTCGTACTATATCAAGGTGATGTATAGATTATGATGTAAAAAAAATACGAATCTTAAATTATAATGAAAAAGTAAGCGATTAATATTTATATAAATATGACTTCTGAATTCCGATTTATGAAGCGCGATTCTTCGCGCAACACTCGCAAATTAACGTCGCGCCCATTCAAAATGTGGCGACGTGCGCGATTCATAGGCAATTCGCGAGATTTACGACGCTCCATCGTTCTGCCCGCAAACCGATGGGTGCATTCTTAAGCGAATCGCGGCAATTCACCGTGGAGCGAGCGACCCCTATGGAGAAATCCCGACTCTCTCGCGAGTATTCCGTGTAAAACGCCGAGGCAAGCGCCGATCAAGAAGCGCGAATATTAACGGCCGCTCCCCATTCTGGGAAGGATGCGCTAGTAAAAAAGCATTAAGGGGAGTTATTATCGGACCACCCTAGTGGTATCCTGTCTCCTCGCCCTTCGAAGGGATCGAAGGAAACGAGATGCGAGATAGGGACTGTGAAGGGCGCCGCCGTGTGTCTTCGCGAGAGGCTTTCCCGCGCCCTACGTTAAAAGGTAGGAAGAGTGGTGGGTCGCCGATACCTTTTCATTCCCCGCGTCTTTCTTTCGCGACCGGAGGCGTCGCTTATTTTTCACCCGGCTGTGTTGTCGCTATCAATACCGTCGAGACCGCCGTCCTCCCGTGACGTCCCTCCGGGTTTACCCTCTCGCAATCAACCCTTATCTCGTTCCTCGTGTTGCCTTCTACCAGCCCCCCCCCCCCCCCCCGCCGTATCCTCTTCGCGCAGTCTATTTAATTTAAATAACTTTTAAAAGTTTCAGGCATCTCCCTTCGCGAGCGGTTGATATCAGATCTCCACTTTTAGCTCCTATCTTCCTCTCTCCTTCTTGTCGCCATATTTTCTCTCTCGCTACTTTTTCTCTCCTAACTGGGGTCATCCTACTCTCGAAGATACTTTCGCTCGCTAACTTCACCCTATCGTTCCTTCTCTTCTTTCGTCGCTCTCCCTGTTTCTTTTTCCGAGCTTTCTCGGCCTTTCAACCTTTCGCGGATCAACTTGTCCTTCCTCTTTATCCCTCCTGTTTCAGCTCCCTCCTCGAACTGCAGCCGACATCTTTATTCGCCGATTTAATTCTAGGATAATTCCGGGACTAATGATTTCGTTTCTGTCGACCGCCCCTCTCAAAGTGTCAAAGGGCAGTGGAGCAATGTTGAATTTATTAGTTTCTCCTCTGATATCGATATTTGATTGGAATTAAGTTAAACAATCGTCATTTTGGGTTAAAATTGATAATTCTCAATTTAAAGCTAAGACTTGTTTGAATAACACATCCTATCATAAATAATTTATTCTATATTATTCTATAAATAATTTACTTTATTATTCTTCTTCAAATAGCTAATTTCGTGCAATACACTTATTTACACTGTTTACCAAAAATTTGATTAGTTTCAAAGCAAGTTTCTTCACCCACAAAGTACCTACAACTTTTTTGACAAATAGCATAATTTTATCAGATAAGTTATAACAAATTATAAAGTGCATATTTTTTGTTTTTAGATCATTCAAAGGCGAGAGGTGGCCAAGAGCGACATTCGGTGAGTCTATTTATTTCTTCTAATTATTATTTATCTGTCGTGCATTGAAACACACAGTGTCACGATTTATTGATCAATAATAAGCTTCGCCAACGTTTTTCTAAGCATTTTATAATGCGTACTGCATAAGTCGCGCGATTGTTGCGGTCGAGAATGACAGGCTTCATCGAGATTAAAGATTCCGCGAATTCCGGAGATTCATTTTTTTTGAAAGGCTAAAGCAATGCGGTCGATAAGCAGCATGCTGGTTGTAACGATACTGTCGCGATCGCAAAAGCGATGTATCGATCATGCTTGTTGGTCGCTAAGAACGGGCTTGACTAGAAGGTTCATCGGTGAAACGATGCCGGGTCTTCAAAGTGCACCCGGGGAAAATTGCATTCCTTCCGAGTTTCGTGCCTGACCCGCTCGAGAATTCGCCGCACGCTGGATATCCGTGAAACGCTTGCCGTACGCTCAGTTGCGTCCGCTTTTCCCGCGAATGGTCGAGATATGTTTCTAAAGCAGCGCTGATGTTTTCGCTCGCGACGTGACCTTTCTTCGAGACAAACCCAAAGGAAAGTTACTCACGCGCGAAGAAGATATTTAATATTTATAGGATTAAGCGCGATTTCCGTACAAGTGAGATAACAGTGAATTTTGAGCGATCACAATGATAGTTGTAATTTTTTTTTGTGATCTTGAAATCATCTTGAGAAAGCACGAAAAAGTGCTTATTATTCTTTCATGATTTTATTCTTTCATGATAATAATGTTTATCGTGCGAACGTTTGTACAGAGTCAATATTTATTTTGTTAATATTATGCAAGCTTCCATAATTTATAACACAAAACTGTATTAAAATACGATAAAGTGCCTAAAAATATTTCTGATGTCTCGTATTTTAATGGTACAATTTTTCGACGATCCTGAGATTTTAAGAAATCATGAAAAGAAGTAAGCGCTCGTTACTCTTTAACGATTTTGCAATATTTGCTGTGTGTGTCAATATTTATCCCGTATAATATTATGCACAAGTCTACATAATTTATAACTATACTCAGAGTACGATAACACGACTAAAAATGTTTCACATTTCTGTCCTCATAATTTCAATTAAAGTACTTATGCTTTTACGAAACAACCATGTCAAACGGCGGAATTTTGAGGAAACCGCGTGTAGCGTAAAGAACCCTTTATCGTGTCGCTCAAAAAGCCGAAGGTCGGAGCAAAGGACAATCCATTCGGTGGACGACCGCCCGCGTACGATCGTCCTCCTAATCCTATTAAAACGTTATCTGAAATCTCGACGCGGTGCCGCGGGACGCGCGCGTGTGCGTACGTGTGCGCAGATAACCGCCTTTTTATCCGTCGCCGATAAGCCCGAGATCGAGGAGCTTTTGTCCGGTGTGGTGTAAATCCGTAGCGTTGAAAAAGAAAAAAAAAGAAAGAACGGAGATCAGGATAACGCGCGCACGGATAATTGAACCTTCGGTAAATCTACTCTTTCACTTTCCCCCGCTCGTTCACTTCCGATAAAGTCGTCTCGATTCAACCCCCTCGGCGCGCTTTAATCCCACGGAGTACAGCTCTCTCGTTATTCAAATTTTTAATAGAATTTTATCGAGCAGTTAGGCGAAAGATCGCGATGGCCGATTAAACGTTCCATCTGGCGTGCGGAGAAAAGTAATCCATGCGAGGACGTAAGTGAAGTAAAAACAAAGATTCGAAGCCATTCGAGGCTATTATTTAGGTCAATCGATCGAGGTTTACTGTCGACCAGGCTGGTCCGCGCGCGCACAAACACTCCAACAATCCTAATATCGCATTCGCTATATTTTTCGACGTAATCGCAGCCTTGCGATAACGTTGCTGTCGTAGTCAGCGTGTTTGCTATTCCCGGATATATCCGTACAGTCAATTTCTGGAATTCCTGGAGCATCGGCGCAGCGACCGCGAAGCAGACAGAATTCAGTCTAGATCCTGTCGGGCAGGCACAGTGTTATCCAACCAACAGCAACATGCCGCGCTCTAACTGGACAGAAATTCCCGTTGATCGTCGAGATCGGATTGCAGCGTGCCATCGACGTAATATTAACTATCCCTCCGGCGATTTCGCAGTCTCTCAGCGAGCTCCTGCTGCTGATCGCGCTTGAGTATCGGTATGATCGGATCTTCGAGGGGAGAGATCCTCCTGGCTCTTATCTAGATAACGGCATGCTGCGCTTCCGAACGAAAGAACGAGCCGTTTACGATGGAATGATCGTTTGAGAAAAATTATCCGCCGGAGAAGAACGGTAACAGTTTAGATAAATTAGAGTTTAGATAAATGAACAAAGCGACGATATGAATCTAGCGAGAATAAAATTAAAATCCAATTTTCTTGCGTAATTCAGAACAATTTTGCAGTATTTCGTATTGTGCTCAACAAAATTTTGAGAAGATATTATGTTAATCCAAATAAAATGATACGCAATTCTTATTGCCGATGAAATGTAATTAAACCGAATACTGGGATAAATTCGAGTAATTCAAATAATGGAGCTACACAAGCAGGATAAAGACGACAGGATAGCATGTGCACACAACTATTGTGAATCAAAATAGCAAGTGTGAAACGAGAAAGTGGAGCCAAATGAGTGCTCTTGCGCTTTTTAATTGGCGATAATAAAACGAAGCAATATAAAATACACATATCGTCGGTGCAACAAATTTTCATAGTTGATGAAAGACCACGATCGGAAGTATGTAAATGCATGCCATGTAGCATTAATGATCGTTGCGGAGGTATTTTTTATTTTAATATTCGTAAAAGAAAATTTTAGTTACCGGGATAATATGCAAAGAGTTTAAAAGTTTCGAGATTGCATAAAGAGAATCAATTATAATCAATTACGTTTAATCATATCAATTCCAATATCAATAAAAGATCTTAAGAGTAGATTCTGCTAAATGCAGCAGTTCTTAAAAGCGAGCTTCTCTTACATTCATTTATTCCGTATTCGCTTATTCCGTATTCGCTCGCTTATTAGCATAATCGATTTTTTGACTACGACGACAATGATAATTTTTGCGTTGTAAAAGTGAAAATTTAATTTTATTGACGAAATATCTCGCAAAAGTAGCGGTAACTATAAACGGAAGGAAGTGAATAATAAGTTAGCGACCGACAAGAGGCTGAAGGATTAATTCACGGCGAGCTGCCCGCTCGTCAAAATCCCGGTCGTGTGCGATAAAAGCGCAGGCTAGACAGACAACAGATGCGGAATGGCTAGGAAATAGAGAAAACACTCGCGTTGGATACACGAAGCCAGGCGTGATATGACATAGTGCCGAGTCGAGGTCCGAGCCGCGCGCACGACAAATGGCGAGCCATTTGCGAAATAACGCATCGGTAAATCCACCGTGCAAAACGAACGTCAAAACCGCTTCCTCTGCTCCTTCCATCCCGCAGCCAAACGCACGGATTCTCTCGATGGAGCCGCGACCGAAATTTCACCGCCAAAAAACGCAAACACCCTTTTGCGCTGTTGCTCAAATAATCGAACAAATTTTTGTAATGCACATAAATGTAACCGCGAATCGAATTATATTCCATCTATTTTATCTATTTATTTTTGGCGATTAATGATAGATCTTCTGTATAATTTGTGCTGTATTTTGAAATTGTCACATCGAATCGTAGTGTTCGCAATTAAGGGGGGCGAGCAATGAAGGGAGTCCATCGATTCAATAGCTTACTTTATCGCTCGTAAACACTTTCGTCATATTGATAACGCCATAAAGCGAGCACAAAGGGGCGCGCAAGGCGTTCGCATACCGATATCGAAACAACAAGGCGGAGGACCAGGAATCGACTATGGCGTCTGTCGAATCGAAGGGGGTAAACTGACTGTACCAAGAGGGTGACGGCAGGGCGGGAAGGCAACAACGGCAGTTAGCCTACTATCTAGCATGTTTATGGTAATTCGGGCCATCCCGCTGACCCGAGGAGTAGCATGCATATACATCAGGCTGCCTCACTTTGACGCCGATCCGTCCCGGCGCCCTCGCGCAGCCCTCCATATTCTCCACGGAGTCCAAACACCGCCCGGCACCGCCCCCCTGTCTCTCGCCTGTCCCATTTCGACCCCTCCCCACCTCTCTCTCTCTC